ATATTTCCCCCCATTGATGTTTAGAGAGAGTGAGAGGGAGAGGGGGTGCGAGGGGGAGAGGCACAGAGAGAAACATCAATGTGAGAGAGACACACCGATTGGTTGCCTCCCACACGCACCCTAACTGGGGCTAGGGATTCAGCCTGCCACTGAGGTCCATGCCCTTGACCGGACTCGAACCCATGACCCTTCAGTCCAAGGGCCGACACTCTAACCACTGAGAAAAACTGACGAGGGTGGGCCCGTTTCTTAACCTCTCTGAGAGAGAGACACACCGATTGGTTGCCTCCCACACGCACCCTAACCGGGGCTAGGGATTCAGCCTGCCACTGAGGTCCAGGCCCTTGACCGGACTCGAACCCGTGACCCTTCAGTCCAAGGGCTGACACTCTAACCACTGAGAAAAACTGACGAGGGCGGGCCCGTTTCTTAACCTCTCTGAACCCCAGGTTCCCCAGTTGACAAAAAGGGTGGTCACCCCCAGGTCCCGGGATGGCAACGAAGACCAGAGCAGCTGCATAGGGAACGTGTGACCACGGAGCGGGCAGACTAGGAAGCGGCGCAAGGCGGCCGTCACGCTCATTTTCTGTGCCCGATAGGTGAGCGGGGCCCTGGTGTGTCTGAGCAGACCCTGTTCGTGGTAGGTTCAGTCAGACACTGGGCATCAAGGCTTCAGATAGAACACGGTGCTTCCAGAGGACATTGTTTCCAGGGAAAGTCAGATTCAGGCTCCGTTATTTAGGTAAATTTGTGCCGCTTATGCTGCTGGTAGCCGTGCCCTCACCCGTGCAGACATGGCTAATCCATCACGGCATCCTCCAGCGGGCGCCCCCGGCCGCAGAACTAATCAGTTGGAAACCTATTTTCCACCCAGATCAGATGTTGAGAGCCTTTCTCAGTGTAACCGGGGGCAGGGGGAGAAAGGCCGTGGTGCATGTGCTCGCTCTGGTTTCCCGACCCGGAGCCTGAGTTTCCTATCTCTGTAACGGGAGGGTTAGACGGTTAGATGGTTCCAGCACAGAGGAGGAGCTCAGCTGGCACGCACTGCGCTGCATTCTTTGCCTGCATCATCCCCTGCAACCCTTATCACCACCCAGAGGTGCCCCCTTTTACACACGCGGAAAGTGAGGCTCAGAGCAGTGCAGTCACTTTTTCCAGGGTTGCACAGCCAGGGAGTGGTAGAGCTGGGATGAAGGTCTCCATTGCTCTGCACCCCCAGCCTCAGCTTTTATCCAGGCCCCGGGGATCCTGGGGCAGCATGGGTTCTCCACACCCCATGGGGCAGGGCGGTTTGCTTCCCAGTTCCAGGCCAGTCTCATGGGTCCCAGCATCTACATTCTGCGGCCACTGCGCTGTGGCCTGCTGGGGGCCGCGCCTGCAAGGAGTTTGCAG